GATCCCAAAAAATACCCATGATATTTTCTCAAATATGAAAAAAAAAATTCTATTGTACGTTCGACGAAGTCGAGGTTCCGACGAGTGTAACATGGACTTGTACAGGCAACCCCCACCGTCTGTCCCATCACCCCTACTTTGCTGGACCTGAAACCACCCCTGAAACCCCTCTAACGGAGGGATGAAACCGCTAGTTCACGCAGCCACCGTGAGGTGACGCGAGCGTTCAGCTTTCGCCGTCAGAAATCCGGCGTAGTGCCACCCCTGCGTTGATAAGGTTGGAAAACGCAATAAGGGGATGGTGGATTGGTAAGTTTCCAAGTTTTCGCGTGTGGCACGGTCGCGCGCTGGCTATCTATCCAAGATCTTCGCGTTCTATGGAACTCGACTGATTGCGAGATCGAACGCGGAAACAGAAAAGGTGGGGTGGGCGGCCGGGGGATACAATGGGGGGGAGTTCAGAAAAGGGTGGCGCGTTCGCACGAGCGAAAATACGGATGAAGGGCGGAGGAGGGAAGAAAAAAAATAATCCTCACGCTACGTACGGGGCAGTGCAGTAATTTTCAGAGCAGTCGTGCTCGGGTTGCTTGCAGCAGGGTAAGCGTGACTGGAGGCGATAGCATCGAGATCGCGCCGGCCGGATAAACACCCGCCAACCAGGCCGTTTTATTTTCTAGTTTAAAATGTAAAATAACAGGAATTTCGCAAATTACACCGGCGTGCGTTATTTGTACAAAGTAATGCGGCGAGCGTGCCACCCCCCACCCCCTGTATTTCATCCCCCCATGTATTTTTCGTCGGTCCTCGACGCTCTTCAGGTGCCTCCACTACGACTCTAGAGCCTTTTAACATTTCGCTTTCGGAATTCCTAGCTCGGGGGCACGCTATCATTATTTTTAGGGCTGGAATTAATGGACAGGCTCGAATTCTAGTACGAGTTAGCACGGAAACGAAACGGTTCTTGTTCGAACGACGCGGTAGAACTTTGCCAAATTACGACGTAATCTGCTTTTCCCTCATGCGAAAGAATCGTCCTTCATTTACACTCGGTTTATCGGTGTAGGCGGATCTAAGTTACGTTGAAAATGAGCGCAATTGGCCTTCTGTTTTCTTAATATTCGGTTTTCCAATTTGCTGTGTTTGCAATCAGCGTTGTCGATTTACACGACTTTTGAGAGAGTGGAAAGTTACTTGTAGGGGGCTGTGGAGTACATGACTAAGACACAAGAAAGAAGTATCAGTGGAAGTAACGACGGGACAAGAGCAGAAATTCCTAGGGACTGATGGACCTCCTTATGGCTGACTAATTATTGACTTGTTCCACGGAACTGCATTATAAATTATTATGGTCAGTCATTCCTCGAAACCTCCTGTATATAAATGTTATACTAATTCCATTTTGTAGTGTTTAGTTCAATCGAAATCGAAATCAATAGTAATTTATAATTCAGTGATAGAAGTCAACAACTAGTGAGATGTAGATTTTAGATATCCTTCAATGTCTGTGTCTTTAATAATAGGTCATATAATTTATATAATTATAATTTATATAATTAGACTGTTTTTATACAAAAATGTGGATTTTTATGCAAAATATTTAGGAAAGAGCAATGAAAAATAAGTTTTGTATGTCTGACCAATTATTGATTCATACCACTCAACTGCGTTATAAATCATGATCGTCGGTCACGAAACTCGTAAGGAAAATATTTCCGACATGAATTTCGCGAGCTCTAGCGTCAGACATCGGCTTGATCGACGGTTTTTGATTGCCATCAACTTTTGTACTCTGCAGTTTTGCACTCTGAGTGCATCACGGAGCTGGTGGTACACTGTAAACACCCGTTGGCCAGTTGCCGTCGACGGGGCGGAAATGTTTGAGGGGGACCTTTGTGAAAAATTACACAGACGTCGATATTTTCCACGTTAGGCTATCACTCCGGCCGGCCCACGAGTATCGATGTTTATTTTCACGGAACTAACATCCGCTTGCCAGTACGGTACGTATTGATTTTAATACCAGCTAACCGAACCGGGGAAATTCGTCGGGGATCAGACGGTCACCTGCCCGCCGTCCAAAAGAAAATTTTTCTTGTCTGCAAAGGACACCTTCTTTTTTTTTCACTTGTGTCTCTCTGACTCCACGAGTAATTTTGAGTTGCACGCCGACGCGTTCAGAATATTTACATGTTATTTGCGCCGCGGTAATATTTTCTTTAGAGACGGATCGTGCAGACGCGCGGAACTCTGTATGCTTGCAGGCCGGTATTATTCTTCTTTCCGTCTCTCCCCACGCCCTCGCCGCGCGCGAATCAAGCGGTTTGACCCCGACACGTGTACGGTAGAATTTTCGGGAATTGTCGCCGGAGAAAAAGGAGCACGTACGCGCGAGCTTTAATGGCCGCAACGGGAGGAGGGAAATGCTCTTTTTGCGGGAACGTTTCCCACCCGGGGTGGAGGGAGGGCCGGCAGATATGAGTCAGATAAATCTGGAACGGCAGTGTTTAACGCACGCCGCAAAGATGAATCGCCGCGGCACGTTCCTGCGGCACGTACGAAAACCATTACCGAGCTTATAGGTACGAAACATTATTATACAAATATAGAAAATCGAGCAATATTTCATATTTGCGCCAGCCGTCGTTTCCTCCTTTTATAAACGAACCGGAGATTTTCATGCGTTTAGTAGAAAACTGTACATGCAATAATAAATATAAATGATTTTTGAAATGGCTGGCTGCCATGGTTGACGGGCGTAGGGTTTTAAAGGAGAATTTAATATCAAAGTAACCAGATCTGTCTTCGTCGCGGATCCCGTGGATCGGTTTACAGCCTTTTGATAACGGGACACCGGGAAACTATTGCACACCCTGGCTGCTCTTCACCGGCGCCGCGCGGTGTCAGTATATACGCGTTAAGTTCGCCGGAGGTAAAATCAATCGTGCATCACGCGGACATTTCAAATGAACAAACATCAATCGTTTAATCAATCGCCCGCCGATTCGATTGCAGTTTTGGCTTTTTACTTTCTCGCGAATTACACAAGAACGAAGATAATATATATTTTAAACGTGCTGAATTATTTACATAAAATTTAGCAAGGACTGCTATATTAAGATTTTGGTTGAAAAATTAAATTTGGTAGAAATGCAGAGAAGTAATGAAGGCACTTAGTTTTCACTATTAATACATATTTCTTAGCTCTTGTTTTCGAGCTTGTTTCGCAGTGATTCAACGATAAGCTATGATATCACACTGAATCTGTTTAAAAGTGCTATCCTCAATTAGCGTGACGAGAATATGTCAAATATTTTGACTTTTGACTAATGAATGGAGAACAGCTGTAAAAGCACTTAACTACTAATATTCTGTATCGGTGCAAACGAGCGTTTCTTACATTTCTTACCATTTATTTTCTAGCCAATAGTTGTACACTTATTCGATGATAAATTATGGCATCAGCCCCTGAATCTGTTTAAAAATCGTATCCCCGGTTAGCGTGACGAGAATATGTCGAATATGAGATTACCCGAATGATATCAGGCGTCGCGTGAGCCCGCCGCGAATCTCCAATAAAAATCATGATACAACGTTCCCCGTTTATGCGCCTTTCTCCTCCTACGCG